TGCCAAAAAGAAAGCAACCAGTATGTGTTAGATTGTTTTGTGATTTTTTTGAGTCCATCATGCAATAGCCAGGGCTATGCCGTGTTAAATTATCTGAGGCTCATGTGCTTACCGACGGCCTGGCGGGAGCTGAGAGTCGTATGATTGGGATCGTTGGGCTGCACCAGAAGTCGGTCCGAGAACGTGCTTTTCCCACGAGCATTTTGGAGAAAGGCTTAGAGGTGAAGATTGAAGACACTTGGTGCGAAGATAGAGTCAGTCAACATGTTTATGTTGTTCAAAGGGCATACCATACACTTTATGTTTAGGATATCATAATACGATAAGCATCAAGTGTGTAGACGCAATTAGTTTGTGTTTTGGGCAAGTAAATCTCATTGGACACAGCGAGGAAGCAAGTGCCACTGAGCAGAAAGATAGAGTGAGGATCCTTAACAGCATCGCTTTTCCTCGTTTGGAGACTCAAGAGCTAGAAGATTCGCAGTCAAACCCCTTAGCGCATCCAAACTACGAGCGTGTAGATAAAGCTCTTGCTTCACATTTTGCTTTGGCAAGTTGGCATGGCTTCGTTTGGCAAGGGAAACAAACAGAAGCCCTTGCAAGGGCTTTGCGGTTGGATGATGGTCGAAAGGTGGTGCAACTTTCTTTCACCGGCTGCCAGCATTTCTCGGACAATGAGCTTAAACGTCTCCTGGAGAACCTCCCTGGTGATCTGAGAGTCTTACGTTTGGATTTAGGCTTTTCTGGCCTGAAGACTTGGGATTTTGTGAAGATAGATCGTTTGCCATTCGTAAAATCATTGGATCAACTGGAGTTGCGCTTCACTGGCTCATCATCATTTCGAAGTGCAGCAGGCCTTGCAGACTTGCTGCGAGAGATGGAGAACCTCATGGACCTGGAACTCTGGTTCGGGTGATGAAAATGCTTAAAGCACGTATCTTTCTATTAATGATTTTTTGTTACAAACTCATCCTTTCCTTTGCAAGCCTGGTCTTTTCCCTGCGCAGGTTCATGAATTTACCGGAATTGGAGGAGCTGGGATCTTTGAACACAGCCTTTCTCTCCTTGAGGAACCTGGAGAGTTTGGTTTTTGATCTCAGTGGATGCGGCCAAGTCTTACTGGAAGTCAGGACAGAGCTGCAGCAAAGCATCAGGTCTTTGAAATGGCTGAGAGGTAGCAGCTTGGATCTCTGGATAAACATTGAAGGCTTACCAAGTCGCCGGTGTGGGCTTCGATTTTGTCCGAGGAGCTTCCAGTGGCTCTACTTCTGGTGCTCATGTGTCTTTCGGTGGCTACAACAAGTTAGTGTCAGGTTGACTCGGCTTCCCTTCACTCGAGTCACGCCGCAGCTGCGGCGCAGTTTCGAAGCCACCAGATTTGGTAGGGCTTACACCAGTGAAGCTGAAGAGACAGAAGATACCGAGACTGAGTTGCGCAGTGTTGGAGAACAGCGAATGGACATACTGGATGAAACTCGACCCTTCCCTTGTAGCCATTTGACATGCACCTCCTTTCATGCTGAGCTGCACGGTTATTGTGAGAGACACCGCTGGTTAGGCCTTGCCAAGAGGATATTTGTTCAATTGAACACTGGGCGCCAGTATATAGAGCTCAGTTTGCTCATCCTCACGCAAGCTGCAGCCGAGGTAGAAAGCAGACATTTGCTGCTGCTGATTATCATCAGCTTGTTGCCAGCTGCCTGTTTTAGCATGTCACAATCCACAGGAGGACCTGGAACCGTCGCCTTTTTGCTCATCGTCTTCCTCACTTTGGGCAGCGTTGCTTACACAGCAGCTCGGCTCCAGCGGATGCATGATTTGTCAAAGGAACTGCACGTCCAGGTCGAGTCAAAGTATGCGAAGCATTTGCAGATCAACATGTCCAGTCTCTTTGGTGGAAAAGATGGTGACATCGACATAGTCCAGCCACGCATCAGTAGCCTCACAGAACATTTCATCGAAGCAAGAGTCCACTTGGACAAATTCAAAAGAGACATGCCTGCCACTGCAAGAGTTCCTCCAAACACGTGATTTTACATCACGCCCTAATATGCGCCCTGCTTTGAAGTTGTTAGTGCCAGCGCAAGAGGATGTTTTGCTCCAAGGCAGTGCCAGTCATATTTTGGATCTTTTGTATTGCGATGTGACGTTTTCATGTTGGCACGGCATGATCGAGGCTTGGAAGTTCCTGACGAGAAGAATAGAGTCCGGTGAGCTGAACAACATTGAGATCGTGCATGTTCGTGACTATTTCGCAGCTGCTGAGACCGGTCGCAGGTGTGCTGAGATGATATTGAACATCAATGGCTATCTAGCGACTGTCCGTTTTCTGGACGAACGCTTGACCCAAGTCGAAAATCAGTTAGACAATGTGCACCGCTTGGCAAAGCAGTTGGGGCTTGCGACCCATTTGACTGAGCCGTTGCTTGTTTCGCGACCTAAGCTACGTGCACATCATGTGTCAAGGCAGTCGACTCAGTGGTTTCGACCCTTGAGGGTGGCTGTTTCGACCCTTCAGGCAGTCTCTTCGCTCGCTGCCATGTACCTTGCCCTGCAATATTTCATGCGATACAGTCCACCTTTTGTCCGTTCCAACCTGCCAAAGCTCATCAATGATGCCTTTGCTCTAGAAACGTTCGACTCACATCAGCCCCGTGCGCAAATCAGATCCGACTCAGGGTGCTGGAGGTCTGAGAGAAGCGGAAGTGATTCTGACCCAGGTTGGTTGGAGAACAGCCTATTGCTGTTACCTTCCATGCTGTTTTCTTTGCCTTACCTAGCCTTGACGATCGTCCTTTTGAGCGACTTGTGCCGTTCACAGAGGCAGAAGAGGAAAGTTAAGCCCATTCAGTTGCTCTATGAGAAGTATTGTGGTATCCAAGGGACATTGTTTCCCTTCAAAGTGGCTATCTTGCAGTTTTTCACTGTGATGCTGCAAGCGCTTGGCAAGTTACAGATCATGGGTGGTATTGTGTCCCTTTCATTTCATTCATCCGGCAAGCATCACGTAGCTCCATTCCAACGATGCTTCTGGGCTTTCGTCGGCTTCCTTTTCTTGAACAGCATTTATCCCACGGTTCTTTTTGTTTTTCCTTCTGAAAACTGGGCGCGAATGGGCGCTGCCGTGCTGGATGCCGTTTTTGATGTTGCCTACACCGGCACATACCTCATCATGACTGTGCTGGCCATGTATGAGCTAGGGCTGGACCAAGACATCTCAGGGAATTTTGGAGACCAAGCCGCGGTGAACTTCAGAGCTACATTGGATCCATCGTTTGCTTTCCCTACAGATTTCTTTGGTTTTTTTGCCGTCTTCTACTCGCTTGCGCATGTGTGCACCGTGTGTCGTGCTGTGGAACGCCATCGTCCACAACCTCAACAAGATCCACGACACCCACGAAGCACTCCCCAGTCCTGGAGACCGACAACCAGAAGATGCTGCAAAGTGCTGTAATTTGCCCAGACAGACGGTTTTTTTGTTTAAGTACTTCGCTCAACTCTTTTTCGTTTAAACGATTCATATGTTCATGTACCTTTTTTGTTTGCGTGGTTTTGCGAGCACCGACTCTAGGTATTCTCCAGTCTTGCTGGTTGCAATTCTATGGTTGTTGCTTACAGCAGATGCGTACCCGAGACCCTCTGGATGCTTCCCATGTCACTGCATCCAATTGCCCACTGGCTTGAAGAAGCTCACAAGTTGCAGCCTTGCTGGCGTTCTGCACTTCGAAGATGTGAGTTTGAGCAATCAAAACATTTCCAGTGTCGCGCCGGATGCTTTCAATTTCAGAAGGTCAAGCGGCATACAGCGGTTGTCACTCTCGGGGAATCCCTTCCAAGTTTTGCCCAAGAAGATGTTCGAGCCGTTGAATGGCTTGCAACTCCTGGATTTGGGCAGCTTGGGACTGGAACGTGTGGAGTCCGAGACTTTTGTTGGTTTAAAAAACCTAAGGATTTTGT